TAGAGAATAGAAGTCTAGTGGAAGGGGGAGGGGGGGGATTAAGAATCTTGTCAAATTAATTTGGCCTAAGATTCAGAGTGAAGGTTTTCCAATATGCCAAACCTTGAAGTTAGGTAAAGGTTTTCTAGACTGAAAGCATAAATGAAAAATCAAGACAATATAATTTTAAGCAGAAGAAACAGACATTTAGAGATCTAACCTGTTACCACCTAAGACCCAGCTGAGCATTAAGGGCATTGCTAAGTCAATAAAAAATCTGCCACCAGCTCTTCCTGGATGTGGTATCCGAAATTTCGTCAAGAACTGTAAGCAGGTCAAAAGCCATAGTGATTATGAATTTAGTTGCCACAGAATTATCAAATATCAATATGATTTTCATTTCATGTTATGAACAATGGTTCCTACCGACAGTGGACCAAGTCCTACACCCAAATAAGCCCTGTAAGTTGAAGCCATCATTGCAGCCATTCTTGCCATTCCATGGATAACGGCAACTCGGATTCTCCTAGCCCTCTCGTAGCTGTGTAATAAATAAATTACCTAAGGGAATCAGTTCTGACTAATGACTACCGAAAATAGGTAAAGTAAGCCATTGATACTATACTAATTTGGTAACACGAAACAAAGAGACATTACCAGAAGACTCCAAAGAAGATGCTTCTGACCAATTCTAGGTTGTGATGATTAGTCAATGTAAACAATTAGTTTTTCCAGACATCAGAACTAGCCTTAGTTCAATCATTTGGTCCGAACTGAGTGTTTTCTTAACATAGTTTTCAAACTAAAGTTTTCCATGTAACTATCCAATTTGCACTTTTTTTTTTTTTATTTGGATTATTCAGAAAGCAAGTAATATATTACCTCCTTAGAGAAGAAACAATATCAACAGGAGTCCCTGACCTAACACTTTGCCTCCATGCCTTGTCCAGCTCCACTGCAAGTTGATAACCATCCTGCAAAGATGCAATAAATGGTTCAGAAAGAATTTTAGTTCATTTTTGAGGTAGTTCTTTCCTTGTAAACTGTCTTCACAAACTTCTGAGTTTTTGAAATGAAATATGTGCACAGTGGTGTTCATTAGAATATATATGGTTTTAAGAACATCAAAATATCTAAAATAAATACAATACTCCCTCCATTCAACAATCATAGTCCTAGTTTGACATTTTGACTTTTCAGTCACAAAGTGTAGGTGAAAATTTAACATAGCCAATGAATGCCAATTGAAAATTTTCCCTTTCCTATACATAGTTTTTGTTTTGTAGTTTCACTTGATCAAAAAAACTTTTAAATTGTCATTTATATGCTATGCTAAATTTTCACCAAAACTGTTTGTCTTAAAAGTCAAATACAACTACTATTGTTGAATGGAGGGAGTATTAAAACTTTTGAGAAAAATGGTATGCAAGAACAAAGATATTGATCTTGGGCAACACTTAAATTATGGGGGAAAATGAATTGACAATAAATGAGCAGTACCTCAATAGCCATGCATCCTCCTTGACCCATATTTGGCTGCATGGCATGTACAGAATCCCCAAGTAATGTTACACGCCCCCTCCCCCAAGTGAATGTGGGTGTTCGGTCATATATATCACGTCGAAGAATTACATCTTCATCAGTTGCAAGTAACAAATCTATCACATTATCACACCAACCTTCAAATATTTTAAGCAACCTGTCTTTTTTACCTGCAGAAAGATAAAGGGAGAAGTGGAGAACATTAGAATATAACAAACTTTGTTGATTAACATTCAAATCCATGGACGCATATTCTGTCTGCAGCCTGTTGCCTTCTTGAAAGGACAGTGGTGGCAACATACAAGTGGAGCACCATTATGTTGTATGATAAATAAGTAGCCAGAATCTACCTCCAGGTTTGACTGTTATAGGCATCACATCAACAATCCTAGGATTTTATGCAAGCGTATTATTCCCTTGATCTCTTTGCACTCTAGACATCTTAATTATTTGATTGGAATGGAGAAGATGAGATAATCTTTCTCATATTTCTAAAGTAACTTTAGCCTATCTGAATTTTTCTCTTTTATTCAAGTTCTGAGAACACACAACATATTTTCTGGAAAACTTCTTTTCCTGCCAGAACTTTACCAAGAAAATAATCATATTAAATCTAGATCATTTGAAGAGCATCTACCATGCGAGCTGTCAACACCACCAGGTGGTTCCTTGTGAAAAGCATACCACTGCATCTTTCCTGCACCAACATCCGAGGAAACAAAGTACTGCTTGTGTCCCAAAAATACACGGTACCTTCACAAGAGGATGAAAAATATAAGAATCTATGTATCCAAGAAACGAGAATTCCATGAAAAAGTTGTCAGAGGTGAAATAGATAACATGTGATGAAAAAAAATGGAACATACCCAACAGACTCAATATCAGCAGGCACAAAATCTGCAATACCAGTGTAACAAGTGTACCCTGAGTACACAGCTTCTTTTGGCCCAAATAAGCTTGTCCTGACCTGAAAAAAGAATGTAACAAACCACAACTCGAGAGTTAGCTTATCAAATAAAGCAATCAGAATTGTTCTTGGTGGAAAATTCACTTTCATTTAAATTATAATTTTTTTTTTTTTTTGCCTGAAATTATAATTTAGTTGAATTAGAGCAGGCAAATGAAAAGGGATCTAAATGCCACTGAAGTATTATCCACCACAAGCATGAACCACATAGAGTGGTACCTTAGACCATATTCCATCAGCTCCAACTAGAAGATCACCTTCATATTGTTTTCCATTTTCAAGCATCACAGTAACCTGAACTTTTAAATCACACAAGCAGAAAAGAACAGATGTCAACATAAAGTAGGAAAAACAAAAATATTATCCAGGAAACTACTTTAGTGGCATATTTCATGCAACTTTGTAATGCATAATGACCAGGACAGTGGCACAGGGAGGGGGGCCAGGGCCCCTAAAATCTTTCTCTAAAAAATGATTCTTAACATTTTTATTAAATTCATTTTAGTCCTTTAACGTTCTTTTATAATTTTCATCCTTAAATTCTTTATCTGATGTCATTTATGTTACTTTTGGTGGTGAGGAGGAAGATGAGGAAAATAAAGAGATATGAAAAACAAGGGAAAATGAATATTAATTGGATGTTGATCTTAAAATTGTTAACTTGATTGAATTTTTTAGCAACTTTTGCATGAATTATACTTTGAATTATTAATTTGGATTTGTTTAATCTTTATTTAAGCATGAAAATCTTTTATTTGAGCATGCTTAATCTATATTTCAACATTGAAATCTTTAATTTATACTTGAATAATGTTTATTTCATGTTGTTTGCGTAATTCATATTTCTACAAATCAATTACAGAAATTAAAAAACTTCATATGATGTACAATGTAACAATACAAGCCTACAAGATATGATATTATCTCCCCTTCTGATCCTAGGTAAGATCTCAATTTTTGGTCTAACGCTAAAACATAGAAAACAACCTCATTTGGATTATAGGACTCTTAAACACTATTTCAATATATTATTTTCTGAATTCAAAATGTTGACCCTAGAAAACAAATTCCTAGCTATGCACTGGACTGAACAAGGAGATGACCTTTAACCTATTTGCAGTTTGTGTTACCTTATGTCCATGATCCACAAAACCAACAACATTGCTCTCATTCAAAATTACATCTTCCCCAACTGCATGCGCTAGGATTTGTTGCAAGGTCATTCGGCTAATAACTCTTGTAACTGGCAACCCCCTTTCAGCCGCAGGGGTGAATGTATCAAACTTGATGTACCTGTTAACAATAAACAAGATTTTTATTGATGCAAGGCAGACCCAGAAATAAACAATAAATAATGACAGTTGCAAAACTCTGTTAATAACAGAGATTTCTTTTTTTCTGTTTTTGCTTCAAAATTCAATCAAGTAGTCTAATAAAGTTCAGACCTCAAATCACCAAAATTTACTCAAATGCATTTGTCTAAAAAATATTTCCAGCCAACTGCTTGAGGGTTTGTTCAAATTTCCTTATCCTCCTCTCACTAATTTTTCTTCCTAAGCTTACACAGTTGCTTAATATTTCATCATAAGAGAGCAACAATAGTTCAGCTACCACTCATTTTGAGATTTGAAGATGCGAAAATCAATAATAACATGACTCATGAGTTACATCATTTTATTTAATTCAACAGGAATTGAACTCTTGGTAATAAACTACAGCTCTAATTTGCACAATTTTTCTCCACCTACCAAGTTAACCTTTATATGACATTTACAACATTTTCCATTATGAAACAAACGTACAGGACTCGCAGAGATAAACATGATCAAATCAATGTAACCTTTAAACTAATTTTACATAAGCACCTCTCGACCTGACACCAATAATCCAAAACCTGAAACACATAAAACAACCAACTATTTCAGCGGACACATGAAATAACCAACTACTTCAGTGGGTAAGATGACAACTTCAGGTATGGTTTACCATACCGAATTCATGTTTTCCAAAGTTTCAATTATTGACATGCTACATAGAACTAAACCATGAAATTAGATTTTTCTTAAATTCTTCTCTACCATGTTCCCTCAGACAGAATTACGACCGAAGTAATTGTAGGGAGGAGAAAGTAAAAAAGAAAAAGAACAAATGTTGATCAATGAATCCAGAACAACTCACCAAGAACCGGATATCCCATCAACCAAACCATTAATTCTATCACCAGTTATGCACCCAGCTTGCATTACCTCGTCAGCCACCTCCAAATCAATCGCCTCCAAAGCAGCCAAGGCATTGCTCTGCACCTGAATTGGACCTCTATACTGTCCCTCGCCCCTTATTGCACTCATATCCTTCTCAAACACCACCACATCAAACCCCTTTCTCTTGGCAGCCAACGCAAAAACCAACCCTCCAATCCCACCCCCAGCAACCAAAATCCTCAACCTCTTCTTTCCCACGTCAAATTCATTCCCACTGAGCGTCTCTGCTACTGTGGCTTTGACTTGTACCCGCTGATTCATCTGCTTAATCCCTCTGCTTCTAAATTGGTAATTGCAACGTAAGAAAGGTGAAAATTCCAACGAAACATGCTTGTGGTCAGGAACAGGGAAATGGGTTCTTGAGGAAAGCATAGATGATGGTTTGTGAAATAAAGTAGCAGCCATTGTTTATCAAAAAACCAGCTTCCCTACTGGTTTTCTGTTCTGGAAAGTGGAAAGTGGTAGTAGAAAGAAAGTGGAGGTTACTACTGTCTGCTACAGTCTTCTGTGAGCAGTCGTTTTTCAGTGGTTAAAATGCTAATTTGGTCCCTAAACTTTCAGGTTTGTACCAAAACTTTCCCTTAACTTCAAAAAATATCAAAATTATCTCTAAGTTTTAATTTTTAATACTAAAAAAGTTTTTTTTGTTAACAGAAATGTTAAGTGACTTGTTATTTTGTCATAAATTTAATTTGTTTAAATATTAATGACTTGTAAAATTAAATAATTATATTTTACTATCGTAATATATTTTTATTTACGTATCATATTAATATACAGTCAAAGTTAAAAAATTAATTAATAGTTATAATCAAAATTTAAGAATTAAGTTGTACTTGTCTTTATAGTTTAAAGACTAATTTTTATCAAAAAAATATAATTTAAGATAATTTTAATATTTTTTAAAGTTAAAAAATAATTTTAATTTTAATTTAAAAATTAAAAAATTAAATTAATATTTTCACCTTTTTCAATAAATTGAAAAACAAGAATGGGAAATAGATATGACTATAAGTAAATGGAAGAATTTGAACCGGTAAATGGGTGCATGTGCACCAGTCATGGAGATTGGCAGGGCATGTGTGGAGTGCCGAGTGCGTAATCTCCTACCACAGGCCCATCAGAGGGAAGAAATATCTTTATACCACCTTTTTATTTGCCTTTCGGTCAATGTCTTGCGGTGGTGGTGGTGGTGGTGGTGTTGCTTAAATTATTTCCCTTCCTCGGGCTGAGGTTGACACTTGTACTGTGAAATATGCATTATCTGTGGGGGGGCTATCCTTCAGGGATTTTGTTTTTTTTTTTTCGGTGGAAATCCTTACGGATTTGCTGTCTCTGTTTTTACTGTTATCACTGTCCACTAACATCCGTTGTAACTTGTAACTTGTAACTTGTAACTTGTTAGACTTTCTTTAACAGGGGAGAGGGAAAATAGGCGCGTGTTGTGGATTATTTTATTTAGTCAGTAAAGTATTCTGTTTATTTTTGTATATTTTAAAATTAATTTATTGTTAACTTTAATAACAAATTTATTAATTTTAAATTTTAAATTCTAAATTTATTTACAAGTAGGTCTAATTTCTATTACCATGATTAATTTGTTCAATGAATGACAATTCTTAAAAATCAAATTAGATTATGTGATTAAATCAGAAAAATGTCTACAACAAGAAATGTGAATTGAAGTCGAATCTTTCTCACCCGTGGTCAATGAATGTAACTATGTAAGTTGAGGAGTTGAAATGCAGCTTTTGCCTTTCGTAAAATAATATAAGTGAAAGCGATTATTCTTACTCTACAAAACACATAAATATGCATACATTATTAATTTGATGTAGCGTACATAAACATTATATAATATAATAAAATGAAAAAGTAGGTATAAATTTATATAGTAAAAAATTAAGTGAAAAAATATGTTAAAATTATATCATTTTAATAAAATTTTATTAAAATATTTTAATTTTTTAATTAAAATAAAATTATTTTAATTTTTTTCATAATATTTTTTAAAAAAATGATGTTATAAGAATAATTTTTTTATATTATTTTTTATACAATTTTCACATATCATTAAATGATTGAATGCATTTAATATCACGAGTTCACGTAAATTAAAAAAATTAATTATTTAAATAATATTTCAAGTTATATAAAAGATAAGACAAAAATATTATACAAAAATCATTTTCTTTTCTAAAACTACATAGTTTAAAATGTTTTTAACTTAATTTTTTTAAAAGTTCTATTAATAAATATTAATATCATAATAAAATAAAATAACATAATTATTATATATCTATAATTTTTACAATCAAAATTGAGCAGTGCTAGGGGCACTCGCCTCTTGCACTCTCCGGCCAACACTTCCTCTTTCATTCGGCCATGTAAGCTTGTTTCTTGCTCTGTGATGCAACCTCTTACGAAAGCAGAATAACGTGGCCCCATAAAAATGAAAGTGTAGGCCGGAGAGTGCAGGAGGCGAGTGCCCCTATCACTCCTCATCAAAATTATATCAAAATGCAAAATAATTTCTCCAATTATTATTGCTGTGTAAAAGAAAACAAAATACCACACGGCAGTAGTACATAAGTCAGCCAGATAATGTGGTTTGGTGTGTCGCCAACCATCATCAGTGACCAGTCACCGTCACCATCCAAAAACAGACAATCTCATTCGTTAATGATGAGAGTCATGACTCATGAGACCCCCCTTTCAATTAAAACCCTTCGAATAATCACATACGTGGCATGTGTTGGGTCAGGACACCATAGCCTACACTGACCTTTTTGAGATGTTACTGCTTTCACTTAGGTCAATGAAAGAACTGGGCCTGGACCTTGGCTCTCGGACGCCACAAAATGGGTACCATTCTTGTTCTAGTCTAGTCCATAGGTAAGAGAGGTTAGGAAGCAACATATATTCTCCAACTCCAAAGGAAATGACAAACAACTTGATCTTGTTATTTTATTTTATATTTCATTTTCATAACAATTTAATCGAAACTTGAAGAGGGTATTTGATTCAGCTTGGAGCCATTTGCGTTTTTACGGGGGGGTTCACGCTATGTCACAAATTACATAAATTTTGGGGTGCTAAAATGAGGATCCATCATTATGGTCCTAATACTTTGAAGTTTGGACACAATATACAATTAATCTAAATATTTGCATGTTGAACTTCAACTCTCTCTCTCTCACTATTTTCTCCCGCTTCTAACTAACTTTCCTTTGCGTTTCTTCTTCCTTTTCTTTTTTTTTTTTCTTTGTGCTCGGAAGCCTTTGGGCTTTTGAGTTTTTTATGCTTGAGCCGTCAAATCTCCGATTGCTCAAGGATGATGGAGCCGCGATAACTCTTTTGTGGTCTATCGTCTTTTGAGACTTATGGTCTATTGGTTTTCGAGACCTCTTTTGGTGGTCCTTTTCTTGTTTTTCTATTTTTCTAGTTTTGTTTTGTTTGTTTGATCTCAGATCCAATGGCCAACCAATCCACCATGCAAAACTTAGGAGGTGGGCGCTGGTTTGCCCAAATCTGGTGATCATCGAGCCTCTTATGACGATTATGGGGGATGGTTACCGCCTGCCTAGATCTACCCGCCTCAGCGTCATGGAAACCAAGTGCAACTCTTATAAGAGTAGATTAAAGGATGCCCAGTTATCTGGATCGTTTAACCAAATGAATCTGTATAAACTTGTTCCTTTAAGATTGTTCATGTGTTCTGTTCACCGTCCTTCATTATCACTATTGAACTGGGTTTACTCTGGCTTTTCTCTTCAGTTATACTTTATCTGTTTGTTATTTACTTTTATCCATAGGATAAGACTTTACTGTATATGCCGTATAATGGTACTTTAATGAAAAGATTTCGCTGAGTTCAAAAAAAAAATCTAAATATTTACATGATAAGTTACAAAATAAGGGATAATATCTTTTTTTATATTTTTTAGGAGTTTTTTTTATAATGTGACTTTAGGGTTCATGATAAGAGAATGTTTATTATTTAATTACTATTTTTGTACAATTAATTACTTTTAAAATATAAAAATTAATTTCAATTTTATTATAATTCAATACTTCTTATGTTTCAAAATAATTATCAATTTTTATTTTGAGTTGGTTCTAAATTAGTTGTCATTTTTTATTTTTTAAAATGAATAACTGTTTTTCTTCTTACTTTAACCCTATCATTATTTATTTGTTTTAATTTATTATTCTATCACAAAAAAAATTTACATTATTTTTTAGATTTTTCTTAAAAATAATATAAGTAAATACATATATGGTTTCTAAATCCTTAATTTCATCAATATGTACCAAATTTAATTCTAATATCCTTGGTTTATATATTAAAGTACTTTATATGCATCTACATGATGCAAGTCAGATGAGTGAATAAATTATATTAAGTGGTGTAATTAACAACTATAATACAAATAAACTTTCTTTTTCTTTTTCTTTTTTTATTTTCAATTAAATAATAAAGATAATTTTCTTTCATATTTGAAAATATCTCACTTACATATCATATAACTTTACCTTAACATCTCTTATTTTTATCAACAGAACTAAAAACTAAAACTATTTAAATTATTGATATAATAGTATTAATAGTAATAAACTTAACTAAACCATAATTAGTCAAACTTTTTTTTTTTTTTTTTTGAGAGGGAGAATAATTAGTCAAAACTTTTCGTTGGATTATTATTCCTACCCGGCCATACCCTGCCTACCTACCCACTTGTTAGGTTTGGACTTTAGAGTATTAAGGCAGGCTGATGGGGGAATTTTCTTTTTTTTGGATAAAATGTTAATAATTGAGAATATTTAACTCTAACATTCGAACAAAAATACGAGCATCACAATTATTCGTTTGTATAAACTATAGACTGAATTTGCCCATCCCTCATTTTTCAATAAAGGAACTTCCATGCTATGATATTTTGAGCTTTTGAATTCCATAATAAAACAATTATGGATTTCTTTAGTTTTCAACTAAAGAAAAATGCCCCGTAATTTCAGACGTGTTTTAGGCATTTGGCAAATATCTTTCATGTCTGAGGGAAAGCAGAGATCTTCAAGGACAATAACGCCCAATACCTTGTGGTACAGATTCCACACTCCAATTCCAAGATCCTCAACAAATTTGGAGGTGCTGTACATAGAGAAATCATAAATGGGCCTTAAATGCAAAGGATGCAAAGTCATGAGTCCAGCTTCAGCCACTCAGGAACCGTATATGCATCAGAAACCACCCGGGTTAATGCCAACTATCGGTCCCTCTACTATAAAAAATAATACAATTTAAACCTTTTACTTTCAATTTACCTCATGTCCTCACTTTAATAAACTTCACATGTCCTTCCTCTACTATTCAAAACCATATCAATGCCATCCCTCCGTCCAATTTAAGCTAATGATACTGTTTGTTGACCAGTTAAGTGCAAATGGTCATAAGGTTTGGGCCTTTTTAATCTTTTTTTTTTTTTTTTTGCCACCCATGCATTGTGCCCATCCTTTTTAATCCTTTTATGTCCATGATGTTTCATGCAATTTGTAA